TGTACTATGGACAGCTTCTTTGATTATCAGTAACTTCTGAAGTACTGAGTGTGTAATAAAGTGCGTAACTGTAAATAGTGTGTGTGTGAACATATTGTAAATAAAATGAACATTGAACAAGTAACATTGTGACAAACTTTTTTTGTATACACATTAGTGACATGTATCACAGTTCCTTGGAACATTATGAATGTTTTACTGTGAATATAATGTAAAGGACTCAAATATACACCAGATAAAAAAAAATAATTAGAAAGCAGTGAAAATGCATTAAAAAATAAATGAAAATATATTTGTGGCAACTCGTTAGTCTTGAATCACTCGAGCGACCGGCTCTGTGAGCTTCCTACATGGGCGATCACATTCTGGTCATATATGTCACATATTTTCTACGTTGCCACAGCCAAAATAATTGGTTTTCTGTGGAGAAACCCTTCCGCTCCCTGGAGCTATACCGGGCGGATGTGTATATATTAGACCTTGGCAACAGTCAATCGAAGGAGTTCTAGGCCTACCAGGGAGCCGGTCGGCCGAGCGGACAGCACGCTGGACTTGTGATCCTGTGGTCCCGGGTTCGATCCCGGGCGCCGGCGAGAAACAATGGGCAGAGTTTCTTTCACCCTATGCCCCTGTTACCTAGCAGTAAAATAGGTACCTGGGTGTTAGTCAGCTGTCACGGGCTGCTTCCTGGGGGTGGAGGCCTGGTCGAGGACCGGGCCGCGGGGACACTAAAAAAAAAGCCCCGAAATCATCTCAAGATAACTCAAGGTACCAGAGCCAGAACCTGGCGCCCTCAAGAGAGGCACGAGGAGCAATGGCCTAAAGAATCCCCCGTGTAATTGGAAGCAGTCTTTGTCATCTACCAGGTCAGGCACCCAGAAAGGTAGGAATTCCAAAACAAACTGCTGCTGATCAAATAAATTGCAAACCAAAAGCCAAACTAGCAACAGAACTCCCCAATCAAAACAAAGAAAACAAATATAACGTCACCACAAACGCAGCGCAACCCCCCCTTCCCAGGAGGGGAACGGGGGGGAGGGGGAGTCCCAGACCTCCACACTGGCAACTCTCCTCATTTCACAGGCTGTTGTGAGGGCGAACGGTTAATCAACTCTGGCTCCATCCTTTGAGTAATGCTGCAATGCGGTGTTGTTGCTCAGTTTTGGTATCGTGTGAGCCAGGAGTAACACAAAAGTACTGGAGCTGCATGCACCTAGGGCCGCCTTCCCTAGGTGCCCTGTAAGTACTGCCCTTGCGGCTCCAGGGTTATCTTCCCTGATACCTCCTCGTGGTTCTGTTGCTGCTCAGTGATTGCCCACCCTTGGGGTTCAGCTGGGGTGGTTCTTGCTCCTGTTTTCCATTGGGTAGGAGGTAGTTTCATCGCTGGCAGGGGTGCGAGGTACTGTGCGGCTGTCTGATATACACATAGCGACCGGTTCTGTTCACCTGGAGACGTTGTGCTTTTGCGGGGGTTTTCTTTTATTTTTGTTTTGTTTTGCCTGGCGGGGGTCTGCCTGGTGTGGCGGTAGGACCACTTGTAGGAGTTTAGTGGCCCTCCACTAGGTCCCCGTACTTGCACACATCGCAGGGGTTCCACTTATAGTTTGTTTGCTTGGTAGCTCTGGGATAACCAGTTAGCAGTACCTCGCCTTCGCTTCCCTTAGCAGTCAGCCTAAGGGGCCCTGGAAACCCCCTTGGGGGCTCATTGGTCTGATGGAAGAGACCCCAGAGTCCCACCTCGCCTTGCGCGAGTTTGAAGGTTGCTCTGTCCTCTTGACTCAGGGTGACACTCACTGCCTTTGTCTCAGCCATGCTGCTTGTTGGGTCAATGACACCTTTGACCCAGAGTCCTGCGAGTGGTGTTCCTTGTTTGTACTCCAATTCACCCAATCCAATGAGATTAATATTCGGGTGCAAGCAGCTTTGGCGTTGCATGCAAGGTTTAGGTTGCTGCAACGCGCAAGGTTGGTTGCCTTTTCGGATGTCCCGCAGCTGACCCGCTTTGGTTATAGGGACCTGAACTTGCGGGTATTAGTCGCTTCGACTTTGGTTTCTTCTGCACCCCTTAGTCCTTTCCATGCTGTGGTTCATCCTGCTCCCCCCACCTCCCTGGACTCTGCCTTTTCTCCAGAGGCAGAGGGTTTGGAGGACAGCTCAGCCCCGGGTCCTGATGTGGAGGTTCCAGGGGCTTCGTCTAGTTACCGGCCTATGTCGGACTTGTTGGTTCTTGTGGAAGGGGGGGAGCCATGGTGGTCCTGCCCAGAAGGGTCGTGCCAGGTCTTGGGGTTTCTTTGGTTGTCGTAAGCCAGTAGTGCCAGATTCGGGGCCGGCACCTCTGAAGGCGTCAGCATCTCGGAGCAATAGGGGGGGGGGGGGGGTTCGCACTGATTGCTCTCGCTTGGTCCCACGATTCGTGAGCATTTTGGGTCGTTTCGAAATGACAACGTCTCTTTTCCCTCCTGGTTTTCAATTCTGAAACGGGACTGTGCGGATCTGCAATTCACACTGGACTTGTTTCGTACGAATCCCTGGGCCTTTTGCCCCTCCTTTCGGATGACCACTCTGTCTTAGGTCCGGCTGCTTTTGGGGCCGGGTGCCTGGATGGTGTCTCTGGACCTCCGGAACGCATAATGACATCCCGATTCATCCAGGGTTTAGGGACTGGCTCGGTTTTGTTTTGGGGCGACAAGCTTACCGCTTTTGTTGCCTTCCATTTGGCTTGAATCTGGCACCTCGAGTGTTCACAAGCCTTACCCGGGTCGTGGTGACCCATTTGCGTCTGTTAGGGGTTCGGGTTCTGGCTTACCTCAACGACTGGCTGGTGTGGGCTCCCAGCCAGTCCACGTGTCTGCCAGGGATTTGGTTCTTTCCCAGCTCGCCGAGTTCAGGTTCTTGGTGAACTGGAGGAAGTCCCATTTGGTTCCCCTCTCAGTTTCGGACTTGGCTGGGTCTTGTGTGGGACTCTTGGACCGCTTCCTTGTCTCTCCCTCCTACGACGCTGTTGCGGCTGTGATCCCACCTCTAGCTGTTTTTGGAGGGCACCCGAGCCACATGTCGGTTGTTCAAGCAGCAGTGCGGGAGCCTGAACTTTGCTGTGATGGTCTAGCCATCAGGTCTGATCTGGCTTCGGCTGATGTTCTGGTTTCTTCGGGGTCGTCCCTTCCGACTTTCTCGTGATCAATGGGTTTGGAACCCGGGAGCCTTGCGTCGGCTGCTTCGTTGCCGGCTTCCTCTGTGGGTTTTACGGGGGTTCTGTGCCATGGTGCCTCCCCGAGCCCTCGCTCGATGTGTTTACGGATGTTTCGTCTCTCGGCTGCTTGATACCTGCTTGATGGGGTTCTTTGGGTTCTTCTACTCCCAAGCCCAGGAGTAGGGCTGTGAGAGAGGGGGGGGGGGGTTCCCCTCCCCAACCCTAGCCCAGACTTCGGGCTGGGGTTTTGTGACAAGTGCTCACCAGGCCAGCCAGGGTCGGTGGGGGTCCGTCCTACTATCGAGCTCAAAGCATAGCGCGAGAGTTTGCGGTGGTGTGGCATTCGCTTCAGGAGTCGTGTCGGTCGAGAAGCAACGATCCGGCTCCATTCGGACTGCATCCCGGTGGTTCATTGCCTGAACCGCGGGGGTTCGATGCAGTTCTTGGTTCTTTGGGGCTGGTCGCTTTGGGTGACTCATATGCTGAGTTCTCAGGGTTTGGCTCTCTTGGCGGTTCACGTTCAGGGGGGTGTCAAACGTACTGGCAGACTGCCTTTCTCAGTTCATTCCCCTTTCCACGGAATGGACGGTCAACGCTGACTCGGTTCAGTTTTCAGAACAACCTCTTATGTGGAACTCTGTCGAAAGCCTTTTTTTAGGTCCAGATAAATGCAGTCAACCCAACCATCACTTTCCTGTAAAGTCTCTATGGCTCTTATTATATAAACTAAGTACAATTGTTACACAAGATCTTCCAGACAGAAAACCACACTGTCTGTCTGTTATAATATCATTTCTCTCCAGCTGTTCCACCCATTTAGATTTCATTATTTTTTCCACTATTTTGACTATTACAATTGTCAATGATGCAGGTCTATAATTAAGGGGGGGTCTTCCCTGCTGCCACTTTTGTAGACTGGACCTATGTTAGCCTTTTTTCATATATCTGCCAAGACTCCTGTACACGGAGATTACTGAAAAATCCATTTAAGTTGTATACTTAGCTCAGGTGTGCATCCTCTCGGAACCCAAGATGAAACCTATGATCTTCTAGTTCATACGACATTCATAAATTATGCCCAAAAAGACATTGTCCCTTTTGCCTAAGTAATGAAAAGGTGCTCAGTGTCGAATAACTCTCCTACTTTCCTGGTCAATATCCAATCTAGCAGTGAAAGAACATCCCCTTCCCTCATACTTGTAACTTGTTTAGCATGTTGATACATGAATGTCTCCAGGATGAGGTTTACGAATCTACCCTTCCAAAAGCCCTCCATTCATGCTTTGTAGGCCTCCCAATCTATGGACTTCAAGTTGAAGTCACCAAGAACCAAAAGTTGTGACTTGTCTTCATCTGTTCTTAATTATAATCTTTCTCATGTTTGTTAAGACCCTCTCGTTTGTTGTTCAGCTCTACCTTCGTCCATATGATGCATGCCGAAGGACTGTAGGCCTTTATGATTATCAGTTTGTCATACTGATTACGAATCTCCAGAGCCATTATGCCTTTATCTTGTGGGTTGGCAATCATTAATTCGTTTACCTGTAGTATTCTTTCATCAGCATGGCAACACCTCAACCTTTCCTAATTGTTCTGCCATGTAAGAAAGGGCAGACATGTGCGGGAGCCAAATTTATTTTTGTACAATGCAAACCATAGATTTAATAATGAAAATGATTTGGATTTTAAGGTGGCATCATTCAATAAGGCAAAAACATTAAGGGAATAAAATTAGAATGTAAAAATACAGTATCCATACTCAAGTTCTTTTAACAGATATGAGTACTGAAATACATTTGATTTAACTTACAGACATAAGCGTGATTCCTGCAGCTTTGTGCTGAGGGCCATTTGTGTCAAAGTGGAGACCCAACTTATGGGAGACACGGATATGAAGGTTTCGGTCCAACGCCTCGTCATCCTTCAAGAAAAAATGATTACCAGGTTAAACACGATAATGCTACTTGCTTGAATGTATGGCAACTTGAACAGCTACATTATATTAGAGCACTGGTCAAGTCATTTACAATAACGCAGCTTTTTCCTATTTTTTACACACACACAACCTAAAAAATTCTGTGGAAAGGCATTAAAGAACTCTTACAAAGGAAGAGATATAAGGGTGGTTCTGGATAGAAGACTGTTGCCTGAGGAAAACAAAGTTCTATATGAAAACGTGAGAAAAACATGAGAAAACGTGGCATATGCAGGGAGCATATGCCCTGCTTTCCAACTTTGGGCAGGGAGCATGTGTTACACTTTCCAACTTTGTGCAGGGAGCATGTGTTATACTTTCCAACTTTGTGCAGGGAGCATGTGTTATACTTTCCAACTTTGTGCAGGGAGCATGTGTTATACTTTCCAACTTTGTGCAGGGAGCATGTGTTATACTTTCCAACTTTGTGCAGGGAGCATATGTTATACTTTCCAACTTTGTGCAGGGAGCATTATACTTTCCAACTTTGTGCAGGGAGCATATGTTATACTTTCAAACTTTGTGCAGGGAGCATATGTTATACTTTCAAACTTTCTGCAGGGAGCATATGTTATACTTTCCAACTTTGTGCAGGAGCATATGCTATGCTTTTCAACTTTATGCAAGGCGTATATGCTATGCTTTCCATCTTCAGAATCACTTTTAAATGCATGGATGGTGAAATAGTAAAGAAACTGTTTGACTGTTGTGAGACCAAAACTGGAATATGCAGCAGTTGTATGGTGCCCATATCTCAAGAAAGACATCAGTAAACTGAAAAAGTTGCAAAGGCATACAATGGCTGCAAAGGCACAAAAATGGCTTCTGGAACTGAAAAACCAGTTACAAAAAGATGCTAGAGGCATTAAATATGCTTAGAAGATAAATAAATAAATAGAGAAATAAATAAATAAAAATAAATAAATAAGCAAGCAAGCTAGAAGAAAGAGAGGTGAAATGATCACCACTTAAAAAATACCAACAGGAATTGCCCAAATTGAAAAAAAAGAAGAATTCCTGAAACCAGTAACCTCGAGAACAAGAGGTCACAGATTTAAGCATAGGAAACAAAGGTGTCAAAGAAATATTATAAAGTTTTGTTTTGCTGGTTTTTGCCGAAAAAATAATTAGAAAGTATATTTAAAAGCAAGTTTGAAGTTGGAAAGTGATGCATATGCTCCTCTCACAATGTTCTTTGGGTGTTTGTGTGTTTCTCTGGCGACAGCTTACTATCCAAAACTACCCCTACGTCTTGTTCTTTATTAGAGTTCTGTAATTCCTGTCAACATAATTTATAAGTTGTGTGTGGTTTATTTTCTCAGATTTACCTGGTTGATACCTGGTTGATGGGGTTCTGGGAGTTCTTCTACTCCCCAAGCCCAGCCCGAGGCCAGGCTTGACTTGTGAGAGTTTGGTCCACCAGGCTGTTGCTTGGAGCGGCCCGCAGGCCCACATACCCATCACAGCCCGGTTGGTCCGGCACTCCTTGGAGGAATTTCACATTCCATAACATGACATTTATTCACATTGAATTCCATTTGACACTCGATGCTCCAAGCACTTATTTTATCTAGATCAATTTGAACCGCATCACAATAGTCTGTGTCTCCTATCTTCCCCAGTATCTTAGCATCATCCCCAAACATGTTCATATAATTCTGTATTCTTTCTGGTAGATGGTTTATGTAGACAATGAACATTACTGGTTCAAGAACTGAACCCTGTGGATCTCCACTAGTAACACTCCTCCATACAAATACACTGCCTCTGATTACTGTCTTCATCTACCTGTCAGTTAGAAAAGTTTAACATCCACGTCAGAAGTCTCCCTGTCACCCCTCCAGCATGTTCCAGTTTCCAAGTGTTACAGTTCAGAAGTTTAAAACAAATTGAACATCATTACAATTCTGCTATCTGCTTGATAAGAAATAGACTATCAACTTGTTCTCTTAATGCTGTTATTTCAAATATTCAGTTATAAATAGAGTGCAACTTATCTCATTTCTCTTATCTAAACCATAATTAAACAATCAACATAAATAATATTAACATAAATAATATTTAGCTATTTTATATATGCTATTTTATATATTATCTGGACATCTTCAAGATAAAACTAGACTGTTTTCTAAAAGAAGTTCCGGACCAACCGAGGTGTGGTGGGTATGTTGGCCTACGAGCCGCTCCAAGCAACAGCCTGGTGGACCAAACTCTCACAAGTCAAGCCTGGCCTCGGGCCGCTCCAAGCAACAGCCTGGTGGACCAAACTCTCACAAGTCAAGCCTGGCCTCGGGCCACTCCAAGCAACAGCCTGGTGGACCAAACTCTCACAAGTCAAGCCTGGCCTCGGGCCGCTCCAAGCAACAGCCTGGTGGACCAAACTCTCACAAGTCAAGCCTGGCCTGCGGGCCGCTCCAAGCAACAGCCTGGTGGACCAAACTCTCACAAGTCAAGCCTGGCCTGCGGGCCGCTCCAAGCAACAGCCTGGTGGACCAAACTCTCACAAGTCAAGCCTGGCCTGCGGGTCGCTCCAAGCAACAGCCTGGTGGACCAAACTCTCACAAGCCAAGCCTGGTCTGCGGGCCACTCCAAGCCACAGCCTGGTGGACCAAACTCTCACAAGTCAAGCCTGGCCTGCGGGCCGCTCCAAGCAACAGCCTGGTGGACCAAACTCTCACAAGTCAAGCCTGACCTCGGGCCGGGCTTGGGGAGTAGAAGAACTCCCAGAACCCCCCCCCCATCAACCAGCTATCAACCAGGTATATGCATTATTCAGAAAAGAAAAACCAACTTACTGAAACCCACGGATGATCAAGGACTTCTTGTGCACTGAAGCGCTTCGCTTGATCCACCTGGATCATGTGGACTATTAATTCACGTGCAGAATCGGATATGTCGTCCCAGTATGGACTATGAAACTCGTAATGACCGTGTAATATTTGATCAAAAAGTTCTTCTTGGTTGTTAGTGGCCGAGACAAATGGTGGGAACCCACACAGGAGGATATACGTGATGACTCCAGTTGCCCAAATATCAACCTGTTGAGAAAATTTAAATATAAAGTGGCATGTAAACTATCTCTCTCGTGCCTATTTATATTCTTAGTGAGAATATAACACGTCGTCGTCCCTTCACCTTTATAAGTCAGGTAAAAAACACAATTGTCTAGAAAGCTGCAACTAACATTTTGTACTTCTACTTCATGTTCAAATGAAACTTAAAATATAAAAACATGCACGATAAAAACAGCTTCTCTATTCTGCTCCACTGGTCTTGGAAATGTTACTTGAATCCAGGAGGTAACTTAAGCTTCAGTTTTTTTTATACCTAAACAAATACTCTTATTTTCTTGGACATTTTAAACTTCAAGAGTTAAGTATAATATAATATTTAGTCCCTCAATATATATTATCAGGGCAAATGGGGGGGACCTTTGACAAGCCACCAACTTCCTGTCCTCATCAAGGCAACTAGTATTAGTGGCCCTAAGGTAAATTCAGGTTAATATTGAATTTACGAGAAAGAATTTTCAAGCCCTATCAGAAAGCTTCATCAATATTCAGTGTACACTCTGATGATTTATCAAAACTTGGTTCTGAATAAATTCTTGTGGTATTTCTTGGGGAGCCCCTTGTGGCTTCCTGAAGCTATACACCGAGATGTTCCCATCTATCAGGTCGTATCGGTTGCAACCCGTTCTCGCACTTGCTTATAGTCAATATTTGGCATATGAATAAGTGCATATGTGACATACTAATTTATTGTGAATATTTGAGTTTACCTTGAAATGCTGAATAGAACACACCGACCTAACCTAACCTTCTTAGTATGTTAAGATATTACAATTAGTACTGAACCTATACCTATATTGATATTACAGTTTTATAAAAAATAAAATAAAACTAAAATATTCTAAGAGCACACAGTTTGTTACCAGTAACAGAAGACCAATGACCCTGCCAATGGGCAAGGATGGAGGAATGAATAACTGGGTAAAAGTTGGAATAAAGAATACCTTTACTTGAAATGGGACAGGTGCAGATAGCTTCCTTAGTGGCAGCATCCGCACGCTTATTTAAGGACAAATTCAAATTCAAAGCGTTATATGACAAAGAGTGCTGGGAAGACGGGACACCACGAGCGTAGCTCTCATCCTGTAACTACACTTAGGTAATTACACTTAGGTAATTACACACCAATCTTCGCGGCAGGGGATCGTATTCCAGGGACCATAGGATTAAGGACTTGCCCGAAACGCTACGCGTACTAGTGGCTGTACAAGAATGTAACAACTCTTGTATATATCTCCCAAAAAAAAAAAAAAAAAAAAAAAAAAAAAAAAAAAAAAAAAAAAAAAAAAAAAAAAAAAATGACAAAAAGACAACAAAACTCCACTGTCTTAAATCTACTGGAGATAAACAGACAATACTGAATCTTGACTACCACCAGATGGACAGGATTAAAGGACTCCAGAGCCATGAGGGCACTGCGAGAGTCAACTACAACAACAAAGGAGGATTGACAGAGAAAGCAGTTTACAAAGAGCAGAAAGAATTGCATAAAGTTCTACCCTAAAGATGCTAGTCTCTGGAGGCAGGCGACACATATAGGTGTGGTCAGGAAAAACAACAGAGTAGCCTACACCGTCTGCAGACTTATACCCATCGATGAAGACAGAAAATGGAGTGGGACTGTGAAGAAAAGTGTTCAAGACAAAGACATTTCAGAACAGTAGAAGTAGTAAAAGCTTTAGTCATGTGGTTCAAGGTTTTACAAAATTTAGAAAGGGAAACCCACCACAGGGGCAAAGACAGAATGACACAAGGGAAAATATTGGCAATATGAACCGAAAGAGCATTTTATAGGCGAGACAACCGTACAGAAAGAGGTAGGTGGTGAAGGTTATCTTGAGATGATTTCGGGGCTTAGCGTCCCCGCGGCCCAGTCCTCGACCAGGCTTTCATTTTGTTACACATCCCCCAGGAAGTAGCCCGTAGCAGCTGTCTAGCTCCCAGGTACCAATTTACTGCTAGGTAACAGCGGCATCAGGGTGAAAGAAACATTTTGCCCATTTGTCTCCACCTCTACTGGGGATCGAACCCGGGACCTCAGATCTACGAATCTGAAGCGCTGTCCACCCAGCTGTCAGGCGCCAAGAGGGAACAGGAACTACAGGAGGGGTAGAGGTCAAGGCACAACAGAAGCGAGAGTGAGGGTGTTGTAAGGACCGTGCAAGGTAGTAAAGACAGTAGCGATCACGGCAATCTTGTAGAGACAGGATGCCAGTTTTAACATACAGGCCAAGGTTAAGAGTCAAACGAAAGTCACCAGAGCTGAGGCATAACCCAGTGTGGTGCAGAGCGTCAAGATGGCAAAGGGTAGAAGGAGAAGCAAATGAGTAAGCAGGGCAACAAAAATCGAGTTTAGGTAGCACGAGAGAGGAATGTAAAGAGAGGAGCATGTGCCTATCAGCTCCCCAGGAAGTATGGGACAAGACCTTAAATAAGTTAAGGGCTTTACAGCATTCAACTCGGAGGTAAGAGATATGGGGTGACCAAGACAAAGGAGTCTCAAAGATTGTCAAAAAGAGTGTCAAAGAGTGATCTTGAATCTTCTGCTCCTTGTGCCTCTGTGAGGGAAACCAGGTTTTGGCCTGTGGTCTCCGGTAGGCATTTTATGACTTGTAAGGGCCTGATGTGAATAAATTTAGTTGGAGTTACCCAGGATGTGGCAACAGGGAGCCACCGAATGAATCATCCCAGAAATGTAAGGTAGAGAGGTGCTTATTTTCTTATCATTATTATTAAAGGATCAAACTTACTTTCAACCCATAACCGGATTCATTTAGGATTTCTGGGGCAACATACGTAGGTGTGCCACACACTGTGTATAACGGCTCGGTCACTTCCACGGCTAGTCCAAAGTCACCAAGCTTCAGACTCTTGGCATTGTCACTTCGGTCTACCACCTGCAAGATCACAGTGTTAATGCTGACATTCATTTGATCATTATATGACAATGCTTTTAAAAAAAATGTATTCAGAAGACAAAAGACTATCGTTGAATGTAATGAAACACTAATTTCTGGGTAAGCCCCAGTGCTTCCCTGACGCTATCTTTCTGAGATTGTTTCATACTAAAAGTCACATCAGGTACAGATAGTCCTGTTTGGCTTATCAGAGACCAGAGCCAGAACCTAGCCTCACAGAGCAACAGGAAGAGGGTGATAATCTGCTACCTCACCAGAAAAAGCCTCCAGAGTCGACACAGCTTTACAGACAACTGGAGGGTTCACAGTCATGTAATGAAGCCACAAAACTGTCAAACAAATTTGCGAATGATTCACATAGAACAGGGGGATTCCCTCAAACAAACTCGAAACTCACTAGCACTGATTACAACCACCAGGCATCCTGGCCGAGGCTCCCAGCCTAGCTCACGAAGACCGTTCTGGCTCTGATGAACAAACCCATGACAAACCCATGACAAACCAATGAACCTAGAGGGGATGAGGGTGTCAGGCTGCCACTGAGCCTCCTCCAGAAAGAGGCATTTCATTACATTCAACTCTAGGTTTCTGGAGGAGGAACCTCTCTGTGGCTTCCTGAAGCTAACCACAGAGAACAAGAAAGGGACTTGCTAGAAAGGAGGAGAGAAGGCAGGGGACTAAGATGAAGAGAACCCAGGCCAGGCGACATGGCCCAATGCCCCACTGGGACCAGGAATATTTATCAATACAAAGCTGCCAGCTTCCTGCGAGTACAATAAAACCAAGCCCGAATATCAGCCCAGGACATGTCGGAAAAGATGGCGACTAAAGCCACATATTTACAAACATCATGGACCTGAGGATAGACATCAGGCTGACTAGGCCTGATAACACCACAAACAACGTTAGACATGCAAGCCTTGGAACAGGGAACGAAGAAAATGGGATCAACCCAAAAAAGGGTCCACTGATGCAGAAGCAGTGGAGAGCCGCCACTAGACACAAAACATGATGCACCCCCAACCAACCCACCATCAGCAACCAATGGAACCATTCGGAATCCGGCTTATTCTTGGCACCAGAAAAGGAGGAACTGAGTGGAGACGAACAAACCAACCCCCAAGACAGAAGGAACAAAAACCCTGGTGCTGAAGGAGAGCGTGAAGCTCATAAACACAGCAACCAGAAGCTAGAGACCAGGAAAAAGAGCCTTCATCAATCAAATCCCGGACCGAGGGGAAAAACAGTAAACCAAGCAGAATAAAGGAAAAAAGCACCTGGGTTAGTGACCAAGCCGGCCCCGACAGAGCATGATTAGGATGGTGGTAAAACAAAGCCAAAGACAGCTTGCAAAATGGAACTGAGGAAGTATTGACACAGAACATAATCTGCAGCAGCAAACCACCAGAAACCACCCACAAACCAGCGGAACCACCCACTCGGAAACATGAACAACATCTAGAAGTGAGAGAGGAAGTGATGGAATGACCTCCAAGAAATCTTACACAGCTGCCTCAAAAAACCAGCGTTGAATGTAATGAAACATCATTTTCTGGGCGAGCCCCGGAAGCTCTCTGGAGCTTATCGGGCTAATGTATATTAAACCGGGACATTAGCTATGGAGTTCAGATCTACCAGGGACCATGAGCCAGAACCTGGCCCCTTCAGAGGTTGCAAGGAGCAATGGCCCTGGAAAACCCCCTTGTGGTTGGGGTTTTTCCTTATCTGCCATCGACCGGGGTTAGGCACCCAGAAAGGTAGGTATAACAAACCAAACCCCACATGGTAAGAAACTAACAACAAAAACCGAACAGAGAGGCAGAACTCCCTACAATCCCAAAGAAACAAGCAAACGTAACACACTACTGCCGTGCCGCTCATCTGCACAGCCACCCGGACCTAACCGCGCTGACTGCATAACTCTCCTGTTCGGAAGTTAAGCTTCAACAAACACAAAAAAAAAATGCCGGTGGAAGAGAGGGTTGCCAGGGAGCCTCTGGAGCTCACCCAGAAAATGGCATTTTATTACATTCAATGCTGGTTTTCTGTGGGGAGCCCCTACGGCTCCCTGGAGCTACATACCCAAAGAGAAGGAAAAGAAAGGGCTGACCTGGGAGGCAGCTGCCACAAACTCTGCAACGCGAAGTCAAGACAACAGGCTGCAGCCTGCGACCCAAAGCAACACCAGAACGCCCAGGAGCAGACATGCTCACAAAATAACTGACGGCCAGGAACCTGTACGACCGCCAAATCCCTGTGTCCAAAATAAGCTCAAGACACGTTACCAAACACGGCAGCGAAAGCTGCAAACGTTCGAATGACACTTGCGCAAGGATGGACCGCAGGCTGGCTAGACTTAACCTTGCGCTCGACCTGGGAGACCCGAGCCCTGGAACAGGGAACGAGGGAAACCGAATCAACCCAAAGTGCATCCCCAGCCACGGCACGCAGGTAACGGCGAAGAGCCACAACTGGACACAATACATGACGCACCCCCAGCCTAGCCAACCAAGCATCAATAACCCAAGTACACCTTCGAAAAGCAGCTGTCTCGGCCTTCGCCAGAAAAGACAAAGAAGGCTACAAACGTGCAAACCTACCACTAGAACCAAAAGTGTAGAAACCCCTGTGCCGGAGGAGAGCCGGAAGCTCCCCGACCTGAACCCCACAGGCCAATGCCAACAAATATAGGACCTTTGAAAAACAATCTTGAACCGAAGGAGCTACCACAAACCGAGGAGAGGAAAGATAAGAGAGCACCCTGACCAAGGACCAGGACGGCTCAGGCGGCGCATGAGCAGGCTGGAGGTGAAACAAAGCACAAGAAAGCATACAGAACAGGGCGGACGTGACGTCCACCCCGAACGTAAGCTGGAGCGACTCCACAACATTGCACGATACGAGGCTACAAGAAGCATCAATAACGGTCCGAAAAACCAAGAAAGGACAAGACAACCAGATGTGAAAGAGAAGACAACCTACAAAGAACAAGAAAATGGGGAACAGGAATCTTCATACTGTCGCCGAGATGAAGCTCACAGGTGGGACACTATCAACGAAGCCACCTGATCACCATAGAGATGGTGATACACCCGCGTCAAAAGACCAGACGCGAAGAGCCGAGGAGAAGGCCAAACCAGCCACGTACCAGACCAGTCCAACCTGCCGAAAGAGGCAGAGTAGCGGCAAACGCTCCGGGTTCGGACACCGATCAAGCAGCATCTGAAAACAAGCTGGGCCGGCCACCAAGGGGCCATGATGACTACTCTCCTTGGGAAGGACTTCAACCGAGCCAGAACCCGAAGCAACAGCTGGACCGGGGGAAGAGGTACAGGTAACTCCATGTGAGAGTGTCTCGCAAGATTCTCCCACAGCTGTCTAGAATGGCTCATTGCAGTGCACAGTGCACCGACTTCATGCACAAGGCCCTATCTCTTAACCCTGGATAGTGACCTGGCATGTTGGGTATCTCCAGAATGCCCACTTAACCAGGAACACTTTCACAATACAGAGGCTGCCATATGTCCAGGCAGGAAGTAGATACAGGGAAGTTAAGCATACTTGCCACAACAAAGGGTCAGCAAGTACACATAGGAGGTGCCAACGTGACAGAGAGGGGAGATGCCAACGAGGCGACCATCTGACCCCTGGGGTCAACTGGCGCGATGGAGAATAACAGCTATGACGTGGTCGTGACATGTTCATGACGTCACCTCTCCTACTGATCATCGAACGGTCATTATGATTGGTTCCCGCCCATTTGCTGCAATGCTATTGGTCAAATTGTAACTCTTTTGTATTGTGTGCCACGAGATGCCCGGCAGCCCTTGTAGAGTATTCTCGTGAGGGAACTCTTGCATAGAGGACGTGTCCTGTTCTGTCTAACGGCTAATAGACTGAACACTGTCCATTCCTCACTGTCAAGTTAACTTGGCGTCTTTTCGATATACCCACACTCGCCCAGAATCACGATTGTGAATATATTGTTCAGAAGCCTATAGTGACAAAATCACCAGAGCGAAACAGACTGGTATCAGGTAACCCCTGGTGACAAAGATCGTTGCGAGTGACCTAGAGTGGACTAAGGCAGTGCTGCCGCCTTAGTAATCTGTGTGTGACTTTACCACAGTGTACAGAGTAATGCATGGTACCATATAACCTGCAGCTGCCAGCCACTCTATCCCGAGCGTGTAGCCTCGAGCGCCCGCCGCCGCCCTCACTGTACTACGTGACGTCACCACCTTACTCACCGCCTGTGCCAGTGTGTGTGCGAGTCTGTCTGTTAAGTATACAGCGGTCTGTGAGCCCGACGGAAGGATGGACCCCACCATCCCCGGCCGGCCTGGTGAGCACTGGTCACACAGCCCCAGCCGAGAGACGACCCGTCCGTGAACACATCGAGCGAAGACTCATGGAGGTGCCAAGGCACCGAAAACCCCAAAGAGGAAGCCGGTGACGCAGCACCAACACAAGGTCTCTGGAGGACGAACCCGACGATCACAAAAGAGGTAGAAGGGGAGTCCCCAAAGGAACCAAAACAGACACCGAAGACAAACCTTACCAGGCGGGTAGACCAGCACGGCGAAGTACAGACTCCCACACAACTGCTCGAGCAACCACCAAGTGATGAGTGACCCAGGACACCCCCCCTCAGAAACAGCCGGAGGTAGAACCGCAGCCGCAGCAACGCGTGTGGAGGGAGAGACAAAGAAGCAGTCCAATAGTCCTAACAAGTCCCAGCCAGGTCCGAACCCAGGACGGAAGCAGATGGAACGGCCTCCAGTTCACCAGGAACCCGAACCCGGTGATCTGGAAAAACCACACCCCTGGCGAGCAGACAAGCAAACTGACTGGGAGCCCACACCAGCCAGTCGTCGAGGTGGGCCAGAAAACCAAATCCCAAGCAGACGCAGACAGGTCACCAAGATCCGGTAAAGATACATAAATCCACTAAGTGCCCATTACAAACTAGGGAAGGCAACAAAAGTGGCAAGCCTGAAGCTTCACCACCAACTGTGCCAGTCCTGGAACCCTGGAGAGGAACGTGCCTAGAAGTGACCCGGAGGTCCAGGGACACCAACCAGGCACCCGGCCCCAACAGAAGCCGGACTGGAGACAGCAGTCTTCTGTAGAGGGATACCTGCTTGATGGGGTTCTGGGAGTTCTTCTACTCACCAAGCCCGGCACGAGGCCAGGCTTGACTTGTGAGAGTTTGGTCCACCAGGGTGTTGCTTGGAGCGGCCCGCAGGCCCACATACCCACCACAGCCCGGTTGGTCTGGAACGTCTTTTAGTAAACAGTCTAGCTTTCTCTTGAAGATGTCCACTGTTGTTCCGCCAATATTTCTTATAGTCGCTGAGTGACACTCCCTGGTGGGAGTGCAAAGAATCCAGGGCCCAGACTGAACAAGTCCAGAAGAACCGCAGATCCACAAAGTCCCGTGTCTGCATTAGAACAGGCGGGAACCCCGGAAGGATGGGGCGGATCGACTACATCGAAACACACCAACAACAAGATGACATGACAAAGCTTCAAATAGCTTCAGCTATCACCTCATTTGCAGTCACTGATGGTCGCGTGGATTAAGTTACCGAGACACCAGTGGCAATGTGCTCCTCGAGGTCCGGGTTCGAGTCACTTCTGGGGTGTGGAGTTTTCATTAGCATATATGCTTGGGGAACATTCAAGCTTGTTCGCATTTCTGTTGCTCACGTGGCCCCACTAAACTGAAGTGATTTGATGAAATAGCTATGCCCAAGATTACCATCAAAGTGCCACCAGGGGGGTGGTTCAAATAGCTTCGGCTATCACCACCTTTTGTGCGGTCACTGATGGTCGAGTGGATTAAGGCACCGTGACACCAGTTGCAATGTGCTCCTGGAGGTCCGGGTTCGAGTCACTTCTGGGGTGTGGAGTTTTCATTTGCATATATGCTTGGGGACCATTCAAGCTTGTTTGCACTTTAATCTTTTCCACTCCTACCACCCCTATTATTTTTTATTAATTTTGTTTTATTTGATTTTATTGCAATGCCACAGTTTACAGAGAACACACACTTATATAACAATATAACAATCAGTGTTCGAAGACCTCATCCAGCTCTTCGGAGGTCGGATGCGTACCCAAGATACGGCACGCATTTCCCCTCTGAACTGCGACACTGAGGTGCATGGAACATGATAGATAGATAGATAGATAGCTAGATATTATATATTTTATATATTATATATATATATATATATATATATATATATATATATATATATATATATATATATATATATATGTCGTACCTAATAGCCAGAACGCACTTCTCAGCCTACTATTCAAGGCCCGATTTGCCTAATAAGCCAAGTTTTCATGAATTAATGTTTTTTCGTCTACCTAACCTACCTAACCTAACCTAACCTAGCTTTTTTTGGCTACCTAACCTAACCTTACCTATAAATATAGGTTATGTTAGGTTAGGTAGGGTTGGTTAGGTTCGGTCATATATCTACGTTAATTTTAACTCCAATAAAAAAAATTGACCTCATACATAGAGAAAAGGGGTTGCTTTATCATTTCATAAGAAAAAAAATATAGTAAATATATTAATTCAGGAAAACTTGGCTTATTAGGCAAATCGGGCCTTGAATAGTAGGCTGAGAAGTGAGTTCTGGCTACTAGGTACGACATATATATATATATAAATATATATATATATATAATTTATATTAATAATGTAATAATTACGTTAATAAATATAATTGTATGTATACGTAATCACAAAATAAGCAAAATAAACGTTATCATTTACTGTCCACCTACTTTTGGACCACCCAATTAAATCATTGATGACAACAGTGAATTACAGTAAACCTAACATGAGAAAAGGGAAGAATCAGAGTAAACCTAATCCCAATATTTAATATACTGAGATATAGTGGCAAAATTGACCAGACTAGCCTGTTTAACCCCTGCACTGCGCACCTGGTTTTGGCAAAAACTTATTGGGGCAATTGTCAAGGACATATTCTTGTTTTTATAAATATTCAGGTAAATTTAATGTCAAAATGTTTCCAAACTCAACTATTTTCATTTAAAAACACAAAGAGTAATGAAAACATTAAAAAATATTAAAATATAGCCTAATTAAAAAAAAAAAGCACAACTCTCAGAGCGCCTAAAGGCGCTTTGCGCAGCGCAGAGGTTAATATAAACAATAGAGTGAGATCCCACACAAAGAAACCAAAAATATAAGGAGAAACTGTATCACACTAATAGTAGCATGCAAGCAAAATTAAATATGTGACTGACTACAATTACAGTTTTAAAAGCATATTAATTTAATTTACTGTGTCGAGGGACAGGAAGCCAGAGTGTATTAATACACGTTTGGGTTTTATCGTGGTCTTACCCTTAAGGCCGAATTACTGACCCCGCCCAGGATGCAACCCCACAACAAGCTGACTAACTCCTGAGTATCTACTCACTGCTAGGTAAACAGGTGCATTAGGAGAAAGGAAATGTGCCCAACCATTTCTGTCCCGCCCGGGATTTGAACCCGGATTCTCAATTGTGCATCGAGAACGAACCCGACTGTACTACCGGGACCCTTACATATAGTAAATATACAGTAAAACATTAGAGGGATGAGAATAAGTGCATTAGACAATTGAGAGCTACAATCCAAGAATTGGAACTCGATCCCTACAGGTAAAAGTAGGCAAGCAAAAATGGTTAAGTATCGTTCGTTCGTTCGTTCGTTCGTTCGCACACACACACACACACACACACACACACACACACACACACACACACACACACACACACACACACACACACACACACACACACACACACACACACACACTTTTCTTTGCTCAACAGTTCCCCATCAGGCATCCTTATATCAGATACTAAAAAAACAAAAATAAGTAGAACTTTACCAAGAGGTTTTCTGGTTTTATATCCCTATGAACTATTGACCTCTGGTGAAGGTAATCAAGAGCTGAGGTCAGGTCTCTCACCATAGAACTGGCATCTTGTTCTGTATAGCGTGTAGCACTGGCAATGGCATCAAAAAGGTCACCACCCTGTGGAACACAAACAATTTACAATATGGTGGAACACAAACAGTTTACAATATGGTGGAACACAAACAGTTTACAATATGGTGGAACACAAACACTTTACAATATCTATCACTAAAAAGTATAAAACAATTGGCTATAGCAAAAAACTCTGGATTACTTTTGTTTACATAAACTTTTCATATTTTCATTAGAGAAAAAAATTTACAATAATACTATATGTATTTCAGGTTACATTTATTCACTGTTTTTGTCAGTACCACCAATTTTCTAAAGAACCAGCATTGAATGTAATGAAACGCCATTTTCTGGATGAGTCCCAGAGGCTTCCTGGAGCTATCCAGGCTGAATGGACTGGCTGGGAGCCCAAATCTGCCAGTCGTCGAGGTAGTGGAAGTAGTAGAGCCACCCGACTGTGTCACTGTCACATCAGTCTAAGAACTAGTGGCTGGATCGCCGGCGCGGTGGGCCTGGGTGCTCCCCGTTCCCCATCACTGGGAAGGGGGAAGCTGCGCAGACAGGTGGCATGACTCGTGTGACATCATGATTGATTGCTCATTTTCATTTGGGGAGTTCTGTCCACTCATTTGGCTACTTTTGTTGTTTTAACCAGAATATGGGTTTGTTTTAAGGCGCTTGCCTTTCTGTGTGCCTGTCCCGGTCGATGGCAGATACAGAATGCTCCAAATCACATGTGCATTTCTATTGGTCATTGCTCCTCGTGCCTCTCTGAGGGGGCTAGGTTCTGGCTCGTGGTCCCCGGTTGGCCTAGAACTCCATCTATACTGATGCCAAAGGTTAGAGATATCCATATCAACCTGGATAGTTCTGGGGAGCCAAAGGGGCTCCTCCCAGAAATTGCAAATACAGTGGAACCTCGATTAACGAGTGGCTCTATTAACGAATTTTTCCAGTAACGAGCAAGCCACTCGCAGCAAATTTGTCTCTATTCACGAGCTCGCCTCTATTAACGAGCAAAACCACATGGTGCTTCCTAGCATCTCGCGGGTTCTCACAAATTCTCGGACGCCTCCGACGCCAGTGTTGTTGTTGTATCGCACACGACAAGCATCCCTCTGGATTTATTTGAGCTTTTCTTTGGGTTTTTAGTGGTTTTGCGACTACAATTTGTAACACACGATGTCTCCAAAGAAGCTGCTTGCTAAAGATAGTGTTGTCAAGAGGAAGAAAGACACAATTACTGTGGATTGGAAGAAGGAAATTATAGCAAAGCATGAGTGTGGTGTGGTGTCTGTGTGACTGATCTCACAAGGGAGTATGGCAGGTCTCGTCAACAATTTACACCATTAGTAAGAGAATGAGGAGGTAAGGGAGGATGCTGCCTCTTCCACTGAGATCAGGGAAGTGTTTGGAATGTTTGAAAAGGTGAACACATTCTTGGAAAAGCTGCCCTGATAAAGCAGTGACAACCCGGTGTGTGAAAATGTTTAATTTATCACTTTGTGATAACACTTTATGAAAGTGTTATCACTTTCGCAGGTATATGTCGCTTGAACGTGACACACTTTATTCTCTTGAATGCACCCAAACACCGCGCTCAAGCGTCATTTTAGCAAATATTTCTATAAAATCCAATTCTTATCCGATCGTCTTGGGGATTGTATACATGTTTGCCATGAAATTTCCGTTTTCTTTAATGACCACATTGCCTATTTGAGAAAATGGCATTGTATTGTATCTTCGTGGTAAGACTATTATAATGTTGACACAACGAGTGTAATCGACGTAGTTTTTTATTTGGCGCTGATCTAACGCATCCTTGTGTGACATTTGAAATGAAATTTGGGTGAAATTCCCAAGAAGAGAGAGTCTGCCTGACTCAGAGGTGGATTCTCCTTCCACACCATAACCCCTCTCCTCCTTCCCACCTCCCCATCGTCTCCCTCCAGCCAGCAACTACTCTTCATAAGGTAAAGTAAATATTAAAACACTACAACAAAGCATTTATATTTACATGTGCAGTATTATATTTACATAAAAAAAAGTCATACAAGTATGGATGTTTTTGGGAGTGGAATGGATTAAATTTATTTCCTTTCAAAAAACCAGCGTTGAATGTAATGAAACGCCATTTTCTGGGTGAGACCCGGAGGCTCCCCGGAGCTTTACCGGCTGATATGCTAATGTCAGACTTTGGCATCAGTCATGTGTATGGAGTTCTAGGGCCTACCGGGGACCACGAGCCAGAACCTGGCCCCCTCAGAGAGGCAAGGGGAGCAATGGCCTATAGAAACCCCCGTGTGGTTGGAAGCATTCTATGTCTGCCATCGACCGGGTCAAGCATCCAGAAAGGTAAGCATTCCAAAACAAACCCCTATTCTGGTGAAAATTGCTACCTAAAGCCGAACTAGTGGATAGAACTCTTCAACAGAAAACAAGGAAACTAGTATGACGTCATACGTCACCGCGCCGCTGTCTGCGCAGCTCCCCCCTCCCCGGGAGGGGGAAGGGGGAGCCCCAGACCTCCCACGCCGGCTATCCACCCATCAGTTCTGAGGCTGGATGTCAAAACACGCGAAAAACGCCGACCGGAGGGAGGGAGGGTTGCCGGGGAGCCTCCGGGTCTCACCCAGAAAATGGCGTTTCATTACATTCAACGCTGGTTTTCTGGGGGGAGCCCCGTCGGCTCCCCGGAGCTAACTACCCACAGAGGAAGGTCAAAGGGACAGAACCGGGAGGCGGACACCACGCACCCCCCAAGGAGGCGAGACAACCGGCAGCAAACGCCAACCCAAGGCGCCACAGCCCCGAAAATCCCGAGAACAACACGAGAACCACGAGCAGCAAGGCCCCTGCACGAACACCAAAAATCCATGCCCGAAAGACCGCAAGGCCACGTCGCCCAGACGGCAGCGAGAGCAGCGAAGCCACGAACGCCACAGGCATGAGGGAAGAACACAGGCAGCTTAGCCGCAAGAACACGGCTGACCACCCGGGACACTATCACCCGCGAACCGGGAAGAACAGAACCGGATCAACGCAAAACGCGCTCCGGACCCAAACGCCGTGGCACGCAAACAACAGCGGAGGGCCGCCACTGAACACAAAAACGACACACCCCCGGCCCGACCAACGAAGCACCAACAAACCCTGGACCCCTCCAGAATGCAGCAGCCCCACCCCGCGCCAGAAAAGATGGAGACTGCTGCCACCAAACAACCAAAACGCTAAAACCGAAGGAGCAAGAAAACTCAGCGACTCGACCCCCAGAGGCAAAGGCCCAAAGGAAAGAGCCGACGAAAAAACACACCGGAACCGAAGGGGCACTACCAACCGAGGAGAAGACAGAGCACGCTGACCAGAGACCAGGATGGTGCAAGCGGCGCACGAACAGGCCGGAGGTGAAACGACGCACAAGACAGCTGACTAACGGTGCAGAAGCAACACCAAGACCGAAAGCAAGCTGAAGCGGCTCCGCCCGCGCCGCACGAAAAGAGGCGACAGTATGTGGCAAGACGACGGCCCCCAACCCCCACCAGAAAACCAAGCCGAGAGTAAACCAAGCTAACAAGAGTAACCACCTAAGAAGGGACAGGAAAAGGAAGGACCGCCAAAATACCCCATACTGCCGCCAAGAGAAGCACGCAGGTGGGACACCTACCACGAAGCCACCCGACCACCAACCGGAGGCGAGACCGCGAGGCAGAACATAAGCAGCCCCGACAAGGCCCCTCCGAGCCCAGGAAAAAGGCGGAGCCGCGGGAAGATCTCGGGCGCGACCACCGAAACCCAGGCGGCACAAGGAGATGGAACGTCTGCCGAACAGAAAAACTCCCCAAAGCATGCAAGCCCGCCAGGAGTTCAGAAACGACGGGTCCGACGCGAGACATCGCAAGACCCCAAAAAAAAAAACCGGCAGGGCAAGCTAGGAAACCAAAGAAGGCGGAAGGGTCGCCGCCAGAACAGTACCCGAACCAAGGGGTACGAACAACTGCAATAGACCGAGACAAAGAAGCACATCACAGGACACAGGCTGACCAACGCCTAAGAACACACGCAGAACATCCCTGCTGCAGAGGAGGCAGGAAGAAAGAGCAGAAGCACAAAAACCCCAGGAGAACAACCAGGGGTGGACAATCAGGCAGGGACAGAAAAACCCCACGCAATCCCCAGGCACAAAACGGCAGCAAAGTGCCACTCCACAACCGGACACAGGAACAAGGACACGCCACCGTGAAACACGGTACCAATGCACACGTGCAGCAGCAGCAACAGGCACCACTGCAACATGCAACATGTAAATAGCAACTCCCTTCTGCAAAGGCAGAGAACGGAGCAGGCAGACCCCAGACAGGACCAACGGAGACACGACAAAACCCTGCAGGCCCAGAAACCTGCACCAGGCGACCGACGGCGGAGAAACCCCGCTCGATACCCGCTGGATGAGGTACTGGGAGCTCTTTTACACCTGAAGCCCGGCCCAAGGCCAGGCTAGACCGGCCAGAGGGTGGCCCACCAGGCAGCTGCTAGGAGCAGTCCACCGGCCCACATACCCCCACAACCAGGACGGGCCGGAACTGCCATACGAAAACAGGCTAGTGCGCCCTGGAAGTCCACGGACGAACCAGCAAGAAGGCTTATGCTCGCAAGTAGGTCGTGTAACAAGCACAGACCTCTGATGGTAATACAGTGTTCCCCAAATGTGCCAATAGCACCACTGCACTCCACTGGTACTATCCCGCAAGTTCTACCAGATAGGCGGGACCCAAGAGCCAGAGCTCAAATCCTGCAAGCACAGCCAGGAGCCTTACCAGGTGAGTACAGAACCAACCCTGCAACCCCCACACCTCACAACATTAAAAAGGAGGGTCCCCTGAATGACTCCAGCATGGGTTGGACATGCACATGAGGGGGACAGGAAGGGTTGAAAAAAGGGACAGTCACTGGTGTGCGAACGGTCTCAGTCGTACAAAAATATACCTAAATAAAGACAGGTATATAAACAACACCGCATCCAGCGCCCGGCCAAAAGACGCCAGACCGCAGAAACTCACCTGGCGAATGGTGGCACGAACTTGACACGACTCAACCGTGCCCAGAAGAACCTGGGAGCACCGCCAGGTGAAGACGCCAGAGCCGGACCCTGCCGGACCCGCAGGAGAGCAGGGAGAGGCGAAGGAGGCGGTCCACACCCATGACACAGGGAAAACCGCGGTGTCCTCCCCACAACTGGGAACCAGGACACCCCCGGCGCGAAGGGGCACATACCGCAGCCAGGGAGAAGAACGAGAGGCGAAGCACTGTAGCAAAAAGGGCGCAAAACACCAGCACTGAAACACCGCCCGGACCAAAACAAACTCCACGGCGCATGCGCATAACACGCTGGCCGAACCGCACACCCTCCCTGCGGGAAGGCGCCAGCCAGGACTACTGCACGAGAAAAGTAGCCAAAAGAGGAAGCAGGAACAATAAAACCGGCCAAAGAAGCAAAGAGCCCAAAAAGGAACCCAACCGGGCGACAAAGCCCAACCGGGCGACAAGTAGCCCAACCGGGCGACAAGCAGCCCAACCGGGCGACAAGCAGCCCAACAGGGCGACAAGGACGAGGAGCCGACAGACGTTCCAATAATGCGGGAAGTAGCGAAAAACCTTCCCGTACCCTCGAGAACACAGAAGCCAACACTAGTCCCGAAGGCACACGAAGGCGCAGGCGCACCCGAGATCAGAAGTCACGCAGAACCCCATCGAACGGGGAAACATGACGAAAACACCGTCCCAAAAAGGGGTGGGAGGAAACATCCACCCACAGGACGGAACCAACCGACTCAAAGGCCAAGGAACCGAGCCCGGGGAGAGGCCGACGCCCAACAGCACGTACGGCGAGTGGGGAGGAAAAACCCCACTCCGCGTAACCACAAGCCCCGCCTAGAGGGGGATAAAAACCCCCACGGGGTCCAACGGGGCCAAGGCCCCCCAAGTCAGCCCCTTCCCAGCCCCGGGAACCTACACGACAGGCCCCGGGGCCGAGCCGTTCCCCCAAAGCCCCGGCCGTACCAGAAAACCGGGGCAGCCGTGAAAACACTAATGAAGGGAGCCCACTGGCAGACTCGTACAACACGGCTGGAGGAACAGGCTCAAATGCCCCCGTCACTACCCCGGAAGGGGAATTCCCCGAGACTGCCCGAGTCTCAACACCATCAAAAACCCCGCCCCGAACCTACAGACGGTAAGGAACCGGATGCAGGCAGGAAGGGTGATCCAGGGGAAAGACAAGGGGGCGTGGATGGAACCGAAGCAACCAACACCCCCAAGTCCCAAAACGAACTACAACGGGGCAGCCCCGGGGCTCCCGGGGAGGAAACCACGAGAACGTTGCCACCACCAAGGCTCAAGTGCAACGCCCCTGCTGCCCGCACCCGCTTTGTTAGCACAACTGGGTAACCGAGCCACAACGAGCAACCAAACTCGCAGGACTCCGGGTCGAAGGTGTCACCGACCCCACAGGCAGCAGACGGAGGCAAAACAGAGAGTCACCCAGAGACAAAGGGTGAGAGCAACCCTCAAACTCGCTGGAAGCGAGGGGGGGACTCTGGGGTCACATCCATCGGACCCGCGCGCCCCCAGGGGTTTCCCAGGGTCCCGAGCGTTTACTATAAGAGGACTCGCGCTCAGGTAATCCCAGGCAGGGTACTGCTAACCGGCACCCAAAGCTACCAAACAACTTTCTAAGAGCTGAACCCCCGGGACGTGTACACTCACGGGGACCTAGCAGGGGTACCACCAGAAAATACTCAGAACACAAGGGACACAAGGGGCAAGAACGAAGGCAGACCCCCCCCCACCAGGTAGATAAACAAAAAGAAAAAGAAAACCCCGCAAGAGGACAGCGTACCCAAGCGGAACAGAGCCGGCCGCTATGATTGGTAAAGACAAGCTGCACAGTACCCTGCGCCCCACCAGTGCAAAAACTGCCCCTTACTCTAAGGCGAACAAGGGAGACAGAACACCCGAGCACACAAAGAGCGGCCGAAAACCAAGCAGTAAACGGCCAAGCAGGGGCAGGACCCAAGGAACTTGTGGAAGGTGGCCCCAAGCCCCAAGGGCAGTACTTACAGGGCACCTAGGGAAGGGAACCCTAGGCGCATGCAGCCCGAGTACTGAAGAATCACTCCCGGCTCACGCACCACCTAGAAAACAGACACCACACTCTAGGTACAGTGCTGAAACAACCACTGGAGCCGGAGCACATAACCATTGCCTATAGCATCAGCCGAAGAACTGATGGGTGGATAGCCGGCGTGGGAGGTCTGGGGCTCCCCCTTCCCCCTCCCGGGGAGGGGGGAGCTGCGCAGACAGCGGCGCGGTGACGTATGACGTCATACTAGTTTCCTTGTTTTCTGTTGAAGAGTTCTATCCACTAGTTCGGCTTTAGGTAGCAATTTTCACCAGAATAGGGGTTTGTTTTGGAATGCTTACCTTTCTGGATGCTTGACCCGGTCGATGGCAGACATAGAATGCTTCCAACCACACGGGGGTTTCTATAGGCCATTGCTCCCCTTGCCTCTCTGAGGGGGCCAGGTTCTAGCTCGTGGTCCCCAGTAGGCCCTAGAACTCCATACACATGACTGATGCCAAAGTCTGACATTAGCATATCAGCCGGTAAAGCTCCGGGGAGCCGACGGGGCTCCCCCCAGAAAAGCCTATCAATGTCTAATTATGTTCTGCACGAGTGTGGGAACTGGGCGAAGCGTTAGCCGTGATTTCAGCAGCGACGACACTGTTGTGATGCAGCGCTTTGAAAGTTTATACTTATTTCACTGTTCTGACATTATTTCTCGAGCTACGTATTTCATTTTTATAGCAATGTGTTCGCAATAGAAAGTTATATAAGAACATGGGTAGAATTGGCCAACAGAGCGTCAAATAAATTTGCGGCGAATAAAATCTTACGCGAATCTTACGCGTGTTTGTACCCGTGAGAGTAAAAAGTTTTTACTTTGCTCATGTTTTTTTCAAGTTTATACTTGATTCACACCGTTTTTTTTTGTTTGTATAGTGTTCGGAATAAAATTCTCTACACAGACATATGCATATAAATGTAGAATCATGATCGCAGCCAACACAAGAGTGTGTGGAGTGGGCATACCCTCGTTGTGTCACCAACTCAATAGTCTCTCCTCTAAGTTACAATACATTGCCGTTTTCTCAAATAGGCACTGTGCCTATTAGAGAAAACGAAAATTTAATGGCAAACATATTCATACAAACCCCAAGTCGATCGAGTAGTAAATACCCAATATAAAACACGGTCCGTAAATTTACGTCGTGATCCGACAAGCGATTAAGCAAAACGCCCGTAATTCCAAGTCGAAAATCCAGAAAAGTGTTAAGGCGCAATTCCTTAACTGTAGCATCTGTTTAACGCAACAGTAAAATGTGTACTTGGATGAAAAAACGATTCTTCGCGGCAGGGGATCGTATTCCAGGGACCTGCCCGAAACGCTACGCGTACTAGTGGCTGTACAAGAATGTAACAACTCTTGTATATATCTCAAAAAAAAAAAAAAAGATATTAGTGTTAGAGATTTTCTTGTATACTGGTGACAGTATGAATAAAAGTGATTATGCCTTTTTTGATCAGCCATTCATGCAGCAATAGATGCAATATATATAATCAGCCAATACATTAACACAATTAGAAATGCACCATGGCACCAAGGAGTCAAAATAGGACTTACGAGGACTTACCCTGACTAGTTCCATGACGAGGTAGAGATGATGTGAGGTATGGAATTCTTCAATTAAACTAACAATATTTGGATGACTAACCTGAAAAAAAGAATAATGCATCTATAAAATATTTATGCATTTCTGCATCAAATTATATATACTAGGGAGAACAAATATAAAAATTGTGTATGAATGAATTAACGAAAAAGGGTTAAGCTGGTGGATACCAAATCCATCAGTAGTTTCAAAACTTCATACAACAAAGAGCGTAAGTTTAAATATCTATGTGGTAATTACCCAAGTGTAGTTACAGGATGAGAGCAAAGCTCGTGGTGTCCCGTCTTCCCAGTACTCTTTGTTGTACAACACTTTGTAACTACTGACGGTCTTGGCCTCCACCACCTTCTCACCTAACTTGTTCCAACCGTCTACCACTCTGTTTGCAAAAGAAAACTTTCTAATATTTTTTTGGCCCCTTTGTTTTCTTAACTTGAATCTGTGTCCTCTTGTTCATTAAGGTGCTGGTTTCTGGAATTCCCCTTTGTCAATTTGGTCGATTGCTGTTAAAATTTTGTAAGTGGTGATCATATCTCCTCTTTTTCTTCTATTTTCTTGTTTTGGCATGTTTAACGCCTCAAGTATTTCCCCATAACTCTTGTTTTTCAGTTCCAGAAGTCATTTTGTAGCGTGCCATTGCACCTTTTCCAGTTTATTTGCTTCTTGAGATCTGGGCACCATACAACTGCTGCATAATCCAATTTTGATCTTACAAAAGTCATGAACAGTTTCTTTAATATTCCACCATCCATATAATTAAAAGCAAGTCTGAAGGTTCAGTCCCCGTGGCAAAGTGGTAACACACTCGTCTGACATTTTGCGAGCGCTTTGGCCTGGGTCGTATCCTGGCCAGGGAAGATTAACTGGGCACCAATCCTTAACTATAGCCTCTGTTCACCCCAGCAGTGAATCGGTACCTGGATGTTAAACAACTTGATGGGTTGTAATCCGGGGAAAATTAAGGTTAAGGACTTGCCCAAGAAGCTGTGTGTGCTAGTGGCTGTTCAAAAATGCAAGAACTCTTGTATATATAAATAAATAGATAAAAAATAAATAAATAAAGAAGTTGGAAAGTGACGCATGCGCTCCTCTCACGATGTTCTTTACGTGTTCCTCTGGCGACAACTTGCTATCCAAAACTACCCCTAGGTCTCATTCGTTATTAGAGTTCTGTAATTTCTTTCCACATAATTTTTAAGTTGTGTGTGGTCTATTTTATCCGGTTCCACATTCCATAACGTAGCATTTATTCACAGTGAATTCCATTTGCCACTTGACGCTCCAAGCACTTATTTTATCTAGATCAATCTGAAGGTCATTACAATCGTCTGCGTCTCCTATCTTCCCCAGTATCTTGGCATCATCCCCAAACATGTTCATATAATTCTGTATTCCTTCTGGTAGATCGTTTACGTAGTCGATGAACATTACTGGTGCAAGAACTGAACCCAGTGGTACTCTGCTAGTAAAGCTCCTCCAGTCAGATACATTGTCTCTGATTACTGCCCTCATCTGTCTATCAGTTAGAAAATTTTTCATCCATGTTAGAAGTCTCCCTGTCACCCCTCCAGCATGTTCCAGTTTCCAGAACAGCCTCTTGTGAGGGACTCTGTCAAAAGCCTTTTTTAGGTCTAGATGGACACAGTCAACCCAACCACCTCTTTCCTGTAGTATCTCTGTGGCTCTATCATAAAACAAAAACTAAGTAGATTTGTTACACAGGATCTCTCTGTTTGAAAATTATACTGTTTGTGTTATTATGTCATTACTCTCTAGGTGTTCAACCTATTTGGTTTTTAATAAATTTTTTTGTGTTTTGACTACTATGCTTGTTAATAATATGGGTCTTCTCTGCTACCATTTTGTTGATTGGAACTATGTTTACCTTTTTCCATACATCTGCTAAGGTTCAAGGATGTCTGGAATATCAACTGGAGTGGAATGCTCAGCTCAATTGCACATTCTTGCAGCATCCCAGTTGAAATTTGGTCCAGCGGCTTTATTTCATCCCAGCCTCTTGAGTATTTTTTTTCACTTCGTCTTGAGATACCTCTATGTATTCTATCTGTGTTTCTGGAATCGGCATCGTGTCTGGGGTGTCTGAAAACCTCATTTTGAACAAACACTCTATGGAACTGTTAATTTAGTGTTTTGCACATTTCATTTTCATTTTCTGTGAATCTGTTCACATTTTCAATGTCTTGATTTTATCCTTTACATATAGCTTGCTTTTAATGAATTTTTGTTAAGTTCCCCATAGTGTCCTCTCTTGAAAACAAGTTTATCAACTGTTTCAATGTCCCGATTCTCTTCTAGATTACATCACAAAGCATATTTAATTTCCAACAGGACAATCATTCTTTCCCAAGGGAGGAAGGTACTGAATACCAAATATCCTGGTGAATATTAAATCTAGTAGTGATGGAACATCCCCTTCCCTCCTCCTTGTGGCCTGCTTGATGTGTTAATACATGAATGTCTCCAAAATGAGGTTTACAAATCTGCCTATCCAAATGTCCTCCATTCTTGGTTCATAGGCCTCGCAGTCTATTGTTTTCAAGTTGAAGTCCCCCAGTACCAACAATTGTGATTTATCTTTACCTGCTCTTACTATAATCTCTCTCAAGACCATTATGAGGCCCCCCTTGCTTGACATCTAGTTCTTCCTTTATCAATGTGTTGCTTGCTGTTGGGCTGTAGGCATTTACATTAATCAGTTTATTATCCCGATTCCAAACCTACAATGCCATTCTGTCAACTTCTCGTGGGTTGTTGACAGAATGTAAGCTGTATGGGCTTAACACTCTTACCTTCAGGTGTTCTTTCACCAGCACAGCCACTCCTTTCCCCTTCCTAGTTTTCCTGTCACGTCTCCAAACTGAGTAGCCCCTTGGGAATGCGACCTCATTGAAAATATTTTCTTCAATTTTCATCTCTGTTACTGCGACAATACTATAGCCGGAACCTTTAAGCTGAATTCAATCTTTTAGGTCACTCTGTGTTGGTATATAAAATTTTCAGCATATTCCATTTCCCTTTGTCTTTTACTCCCACTTAATCTAATGATTTTGTTGGTTTATTTCACACCCCAATCAGAAGGGGCAATTAACACTTTCGCGCTCTCGGCGCTCAAAAAAAACAATACCCCAGATGCTTTCGGCACTTCGCGCGCCTACGCGGTAAGACCGAAAAAGTGTACACTCTTTTGACTGTCCTGACAATAATTGAAGGCGCACGTATTTAAATTTGGTATCACTGTGTTCGCAATGAAATTGTCTATAAGAGCATACCTATAAAATGCCGCCCAAGCATAAGGAGTATCAACACCAAATAAAAAACTATGCAGATCACTCGCCGAGAGCGCCAAACAGCAACAAAATGTTTCCACTCTCTTAATGGTTGCGAAGCCTACAGTTGTCCTACATCGCTAATTTTGGTATCATTGGAATCGCAATAAAATTCTCTACACGGACATATGCATATGAATGTTTAATATAGGTAATTGCCCACCCGCAAGAGTGTGTGAAGTGGAGAGTAGTTAGCCGCGAGCGCACTGGCGAAAACACAGGGGGGAAATCATGCTTGGAAAGTTTATACATTTATACGTTTCCTGACCCTACTTTTCTATGTACGTATTTCTTTTTTATACCAATGTGTTCGCAATAAAATTTTCTATAAGATGAAATGTATAACATTTGTACAAAGCATGTGTAAGAGAAGCGCCAAATATAGAACCACGTCGCTCAGTATGCGTTCGCGGCAGAAACGAACGCATTGTTTTCGTTCGTTTGATGTTTGTCATGTTTATACTTGTTGAAACATTTTATAATTTGTATGACAGTGATCGCAGTAAAATTCCCTACACAGACATATACATAACACATACAAATATTTCCCACGTGTTGGATATATCAACGGCTAAAGGGAACCCACTGCCACACGCCCGCCACACCCAGAGCCACACCACCAAACATACTTTGTGTTTTGTTTTTTTTACTCATAGAAGTTTGTGATATAATATTCATTCTGGTACCAAAAAGTTCGCAAATAAATTCTCTACAAAACGTATATAATCTGAGAGTATCCCCATCCATTTCGGTTAAAAAATGGAATTTATAGAAATATTTTTTCGATGGACGAGAAAACTAGGCTGTTATGCGGAATCGTAAGAAAAAACAGCGACGAGTTATCTCTAATCTAAAGCGCGAAAGTGTTAAATAAATAAATATATGCCACTGCTTCCTGTGCCTCTGTGAGGATGGGGGACCCAAGTTGTGGCGCTGGTGCCTGGTAGGCCATACAACTTCTCGACTAATGGGACCCAGTAGTGTGGCACCAGACGTAGTAGCTTCAGGGAGGCACAAGGGGCTTTCCCAGAAAAATTACCTACACTGGGAAAACATAAGGCAGTAAGATAGAAGAATTACTATGCGAGGCATTACACACACACACAAGTACCTTCAACTGCATCACAGTAGACTTTCACTGTCCTTTACCACGTATAACAAGGACTATTCTGTCTCCTACAATTATTATTATTATTATGTGATGTTTGAGGCTATCAACCCAACACTAGGAAGGGCAATCGGAGCACACACTCCTTCCCTACTCCTATCATTCTCTTTCACTTCTGTTCTTATAATTATTGCCCAATTCTATTTCTCATTATTATTTCCCCCTAAGCTTTTCCTACCATAAACCAAACATATCAGTCATTATCACCTAAAACAAAAAATTCCCCGTTTAAATTCTCTTTTAGTTTTCTCGCTTACTTCCCACATATTCCACACAGCCATGGAAGCCTGTTTACTTTCTTATAGGTTCATAGCAGAAGCGATCCCTAGATCCAGAGCCAACTTTATTATTCACGGAGAGGATTTTAAAAAGGAAAGACCCATGCAAAATCACTCCACCCCTTTAATTAGAGGAAGTACTTGTAACAATATCCCATTCTTTAGTCTGAGAACTAGCTCATCAAGTTCTCTTAGGGTACATATATATTATGTCAAGCCTATATTTGTCCATATTTCTTTGATTTACTTAAAATATTTTAGTGCATTTCTGCACTCAATTTCAACATTTTACGTGAAGAAGTACGCACTCGTCAGAAAATTATGCAGATTGAATGCAGCAAAGACAATTAATGCAACAAAAACAATTTTAAAATAACTACTAGACAAATGTGCAATATGTCCAGGGATTATTCAAAGATAACTCTTGTAATGTAAGACATTAAGTCTACAAATGTTTGCTCTACTTTACCTTTCTTGTAATGTAAGACATTAAGTCTACAAATGTTTGCTCTACTTTACCTTATCTGTAACTACAGTATCATAAAATAATAAAATATTGATGGAGTTTATTATGTTGGAAAAGGCTCTCGGAAACATTCATACCTGTTCCATTACACAACTGACATGTGTACAATCATCACTTTTTGCATTCCTATGGGCTCAATAACCTGTTTCTCTCTGATCAAATTTCAGAGTTTCTCTGAAATTTGAAATCTTTCAAATTTAACCTGTTTCTCTCTCCTCCAGCTTTCAACAGCCCGTCCAGACAACACGCTCCTTACAATAAACCAGTTTTTTATTATAAATTAAATTCCCTTTCAACGAGCCTATGAATCATCCAATGTAATTTCTCTTCAGTATTGTGTGACACAGATACTGAACACATTAGCACTATGATTATAGAAAAACATGTGGTCTCTACTCTGACAATAAATGTTACGAAGATGCTAAAATGTCTTCCCTTTCGAAATACCAAAAATTTATATTTTTAATTATTTTTGTAATTTTTCGTGTTTTTGGAGCACAGTGCATTTAGGTTATTAGGGGACCAGCCAAAACATCAGGGAACCATCCGGAGATCACGCCCGCCAAACACACACCGAAACTACGACGTTGGTACAACGTTCGAACAAGTTTTAACACCTCCTAACCAGTTATAACAACCAATATAACAAGTTGTAACAACGTTCTAATATGTCATAAACACGTTAAGCCAAGATGTAACAACTTTATTACTAGTTATAACAAGCGGAAAATAGAGACAGTTTCGGTTTGTGTTTCCAGGGCGCTGGCCAAGCACTTGCCATTAAAAACAATAATTGCTCTGCTTGTGAATATTTCCAATATTCTTTGCAAATTATCGGCCAGAAAGGTCTGAAAATTATGTTCGTTTTCTTTTTATTGTGATAGTGGTAATGTGTGTGTACACTCTCATATCTATATTTGTATTTATCCAAGAAAAATACATGAGGAATGTTGAAAGATTTAGGACAGTGTTGAAATTTTCATATAGATTTGTATATTCAGTACCATTATGCATGAATTATTATAAAAACCAATGTTGTATGGCATCTATACTCTACCAAATTCTTTAACAAAAATATTGACTCCAAATTTATAGTTATAACTCAAAAACTAACATAAAAAATGTAAAGAGTATAAACTTTTCAGGAGTCACTAAGCGAGACCCTGAGATGCCCAGAACGTTAACAGACAGGAACGGGCCGACAGTCCGAAACATTAGTTAAGAACATTCATATGAACTAGTTCGTGCATAAAAAGTAAAACTTACCCTTCGAAGTATAGAAACTTCGCTTTCAATCATATGTTCCTTCCCACGGCATTTAGTCTTGTCTATTATTTTTAGCGCATACTCTTCTTTTGTCTGTCTGCAAACACAACCTCGTACCACCGCAAAATTTCCATCACCAAGGATGCGGCCCACTGAATATCTAGGATAATTTTGTACAGTATATATTAGCCAAGTAGTATATATATATATTTTCTTTTGGCATGCTTATTTACAACCTTACATATCCTGCTATTTTGGGTGAGGAAGTGCTTCGGTTTTTAATGGGAAGATGAAAAAACTACCGTTGAATGTAATGAAATGCCATTTTCTGGGCGAGTCCCAGAGGCTCCCTGAAGCTATCATATACTTATCAGTGCCATACTGTCAGGTGTCATGAGTCGCGGACTTCTTATTAGCCTACCGGTGACCATGAGCCAGAACCTGGTTCCCTCTGATAGGCGCAGGGAGTGATGGCCTACATAAACTTTACATTTAAAGGGTAATCATACTTGCCACCACCACCAGGAAAGCACCCAGAAAACTGGGTGAACCCAAACAAAAAAGTGCGACCGCAGCCTGAAAACTCCCAAAAGATCTTTCCCAGCAATAAAGACACTACCGCCGGCTAACCATCCCCCCTCTTTGGGAAGAGGGGAGAAGGGAAGCGTACTGGGTCAGCCGGCTCCCACCAACCTCAGTTTAAAGCTGATGAACCACACCGATGGCATTTTATTACATTCAATGCTGTTTTCTGGGGGAAAACCCCATGAGCTCCCTGAGGCTAACTTCCCACAGAGAAGAAGAAAAAATGGGCACACACTAGGGAGGTGGTAGCACCGCAGGTATCAACCCGAAGAAGAGATAGGCGGCCGCGACACCCCCCCCCCCAAAAAACAACACAAGGCCGCTGAAAAACCCGGAACGGTAACAAGATATCAGGCCGCAAGACCCCTTTCGCCAAGCAAAACCCTTGTGCCCAAATATCAGCCCAAGACATAAGCGAAAACAACTGCAAGACCAGCATACATATAGATAGCATGAGCATGACGGTAGACCACAGTCTGGCTAGACTGAACAACACTGTGGATGACCTGACCCACACGAGCCCTGAAACAGGTAACTAGGGAAACCGGAACAACCCACAAAGCACCCACCAAAGAAGAACCAGTGGCATGAAGGCAGCGGCATAAAGCCACCACGAGACAAAGTGCTCTATGAACCTCTGGCCAAACCAATCAAGCATCCACAACCTAAGAATCCCTTCGGAAGCCAGCCGACACAGTCTTCACCAGGTAAGGAGCCGACTGCAACCGAACATCCAGGGCCAAGTTATAAAGACCCCATCAACAGAGGAGAGCATGAAGTACGCCCATCTGACAACTTGAGGCTAAAGAAGCAAAAGACCGACACAGTCTTCACCAGGTAAGGAGCCGACTGCAACCGAACATCCAGGGCCAAGTTATAAAGACCCCATCAACAGAGGAGAGCATGAAGTACGCCCATCTGACAACTTGAGGCTAAAGAAGCAAAAGACCGACACAGTCTTCACCAGGTAAGGAGCCGACTGCAACCGAACATCCAGGGCCAAGTTATAAAGACCCCATCAACAGAGGAGAGCATGAAGTACGCCCATCTGACAACTTGAGGCTAAAGAAGCAAAAGACCGACACAGTCTTCACCAGGTAAGGAGCCGACTGCAACCGAACATCCAGGGCCAAGTTATAAAGACCCCATCAACAGAGGAGAGCATGAAGTACGCCCATCTGACAACTTGAGGCTAAAGAAGCAAAAGACCGACACAGTCTTCACCAGGTAAGGAGCCGACTGCAACCGAACATCCAGGGCCAAGTTATAAAGACCCCATCAACAGAGGAGAGCATGAAGTACGCCCATCTGACAACTTGAGGCTAAAGAAGCAAAAGAGCCACCAAAAACAATCCAGGACCAATGGAAAACATTGGAAAACAAGCAAGAGAGGGAAAAGAAGGAACCTGGCCAGAGTCCAGCCAGGCAGGCTCAGGCGGTGCATGAGCAGACCGGAGGTGAAACAGAGTGAAAGAAGCATGCAAAACTAGGCAAAGGACTCACCAACCCCACACGCAAGCAGGAGCTTGCACCCAAGAAAGAGCCAGAAAAAAAAAGACAAAACAACCCGCCAGAACCAAAGAACAACGACAAAGGTATATAAAATGGCAAAAGACTGCCAAGAGCTCATATTATCGCAAGAACTACAGGTGGGGCACCTTTAACAAGCCACCTGATCATCACAGAGACGGTACCTTGATACTTGCTTGATGGGGTTCTGGAAGTTCTTCTATTCCCTAAGCCTGGCCTGAGGCCAGGTTTGACTTATGAGAGCTTGGTCCAACAGGCTGTTGCTTGAAGCTGCCAGCAGGACCACATATCCACCACAGGATATGTGGGCCTGCGGGCTGCTCCAAGCAACAGCCTGTTAGGCCAAGCTCTCACAAGTGATCCATCCAAGTCACACACCAGATTACAGTCTCCGTGGTGTAGTGGTAAGACACTCGCCTGGCGTTCCGCGAGCGCTATGTCATGGGTTCGTATCCTGGCCGAGAAGGATTTACTGGGCGCAATTCCTTAACTGTAGCCTCTGTTTAACGCAACAGTAAAATGTGTACTTGGATGAAAAAAACTATTCTTCGCGGCAGGGAATCATATTCCAGGGACCTGCCCGAAACGCTACGCGTACTAGTGGCTGTACAAGAATGTAACAACTCTTGTATATATCTCAAAGAGCAGAAGAGAAGGCCGAACCAATGAGAAACGTCACTCTCCTGACCCTTAAAAGGAGGCGAAGCTGCGGGAGAACACCCGAGGTTAGACACCAAGCAAGCAGCGCCAAAATCAAGCCAGGCCGGTTACCAAGGAACCAGATGAATGCATTCTCCCTGTAAGACCCCAGCTGCACCAGCTTCCCCCCCCCCCCCACCCCCCCTGGAGCAACAGTTGGGCTGGGAGAAAGAGGTAGGAAAACCCATCACAATCTTTGAGTACTAAGAAATAAGATCACAAAACACATGGAATCACAGCATCTCCATAACCCTGGACAACATGGGTTCCAAACAGGGTGTTCTTACCTATCACAGTTGCTGGACCACTATGACATGGCCTTAGATGGTATGGAAGACAAGCAAAACGTTGATGTAATTTACACAGATTTTGCAAAAACCTTCAACAAATGTGACCATGGTGTTATTGCACACGAAATGCGCTCAAGAGGAATTACCGGAAAAATAGGCAGATGGATCTACAATTTCCTAACTAACAGAACCCAATGTGTAATAGTCAACAAAGTAAAATCCAGACCATCAACAGTGAAGAGCTCAATCCCTCAGGGTACTGTGCTTGCTCCAGTATTCTTTCTCATTCTCATATTGGACAAAGACAAGGACACAAACTATATTACTGTATCATCCTTTGCAGATGACACTAGGATCTTTATGAGAGTAGACAGCATAGAGGACACAGTATATCTCCAATCTGAAGTAAATCAGGCCTTTCAATGGGGCTACAGAAAATAGCATGGTAATTAATTAAGATTAGTTCCAGCTCCTGCACTGGTTATAAAAACAAAACCCACGTACAAAATGCAGTCAAATCATACCATAGAACGTAAAAGCAATGTAAAGGATTCGAGTATAATCATGGCAGAAGACCTTACCTTTAAAGAACACAATAAAATAGCTGTCACAACTGCAAGAAAAATGACAGGTTGGATAACAGGAACCTTTCAAACAAGAGATGCTACATCAATGATGAAACTTTTAAAGATGCTAGTGCTCTCTAGAGTGGAATACTGTTGCTCAATGACATCCCCTTCAAAGCTGGAGAAATTGCTGACCTGGAGAGCATGCAGAGATCCTTTACCGATATAATCCACTTAGTAAAAAATCTAAACTATTAGGACCGACTAAATTCAAAAAGAATTTGAATTTAGAATTCAAATTCTAAATTTGAATTCCCTAGAGTGCAGGCAGGAGAGATACATAATAATTTACACATGGAAAATATTAGAGGGGCTGGTTCCAAATCTGCATACAGAAATAACATCACACGAGACCAGAAGGCATGGTAGGATGTGCAGAATAGCCCATTGAAAAGCAGAGGTGCAATAAGTACTCAGAGAGAACTCTTATCAACATCAGAGGCTCGAGACTGTTCAACACGCTTCCACTGCACATTAGGGGGAGATAACTGGCCGAATCCCCTCACGGTGTTCAAGAGAGAACTCGATATACACCTCCAAAGGATACCTGATAAACCAGGCTGTGATTCATATATCAGGCTGTGAGCAACCGCAACCAACAGCCTGGTTGACCAGTTCAGCAACTAAGAGGCCTGGTCAGGTACCGGGCCACGGGCACATTGGGCCCTGAAATCAATGCAAGGTAACTGCAAGGTAAGGTATCACCAATCCAACTGAAGGTGCCACCACAAAGACTCTCAGTTAGGGAATGGCGCCAAGAATGGCAACACCGAAACCACACCGATAAGAAGGGTCAACCTCTGAGCCCCCAAACATCCAGCAAAGCCAGGGATGACCAAGATAGTTCAAACCATGGCAGTAAGAAGAAACCAAGAAGGATCATTGGCCAGGATGTAGGATACACCACGGGCGCAATGAAAATCGGAGAAGCAACCCTGAGAAACCCTGAGAATTCAGCAGACGAGCCCAAAGCAACCTGTCCCAGGGAGAAATGAACCAAAATTCATATGGACCCAGAACACCAAGCCTAGAGGAATCCAAACTAACTGCAGCACCTTCCACACATCCGCAAACTCTCGCACCAGAAACTCAACAATGGAAACAACAACCACGGCCAGACATGGAGCACAAGCCACAACCCCCCAACCCCCAACCGATGTCTGAGGCAACTGTGAAAGGTGAGTGAGAGCTGAAGAAAACCTTGGGAACAAACCCTGAAAAATGCAAATAGAACAGGCGATGTCACCGCCAGTGCATTCTCTCCAGAATTCGTACACAGTGATTGTGAGTAGGGTAGGGACAGCTCGAAAGGAACCCAACCCACTAAGCCAAACCCCGCCCAATGGGAAAACTAAAAGAGCAAAGGAAAAGCTCCTGCAAAAGCAACCACTGAGCCACCCAGCTGGGTCAGCTAGCAAAACCCAGAAGCT